GCATGTCCTTATTTAAGCACTACTACATGAGATTAATAAAGTAGTGATGATTATCGGATTCATGAAGATGAAGCAATGGTTAGCTCCTTTGGCCTTAATCAAATAATGAAAAGGAAAATAGGATTTAACCTAACATGCTTGAATGAAAAGCTGAATCTAGAGTCCATTGCTTCATAAATCAGCAAAGTAATAAAAGGCATGTCAGTGAAGCCCCCCTGGAAAATAGCTAAACAACAAATCATCCCAAAAGAAGTTAAATCACAAAGTGACCATTATTAGATCCTCTTCAATCTACTGGAACTTAGAAACATCATGATAAGAGTACTAAGAAATGAGAACCATTTGCATGGTTGGGTTTCTTACACGTGTCACCACCGTACCTCTTGGACCCCATACTCCTACAACATTTTCTGTCCATACCTTATCACAACCCATGTGTGAATGTGACATTCTTATGAATCTATGGATCATGACTGCACTTAATGTGGCAGCCATTCGCTGAAACCCTAGTAACTAATTTGAAGTGACCAATTATGTTTACAATCAGTTTTTTAATACTGTGGGGCACACCTGATTTATCCTGAGAGTGAAAATATGAAAATATGCTTGAGATTGAGATCTTATAAAAGATTATTATATTGGGGTAGTGTGCACCAGTAAATGAATGTAGTTTTTTAACCATGTTCTTCTTATACTTGAGAAAGTAAATTTAGAAGAATATTTACTTCATACATGCAGGGATGGGGACAAATACAAGGCAGACAAGGACCCGCCTCTGGGTACGATAATGGTCAAATAGGTTAAGAGTTATTTATATAGAAAATTGACAAGACTTAAAGGTATTAAGAATCATGAACTGATTCAGATAGAAGCCAAGAAAAGAAAGTAAGAGAACAAAACAGCAATTTGGTGATGAGAAAGGCTTATGCGACAAGCAACTGTGTCGTTATTTGGATTTATCTCGAGAAAGGAATCTATTATGGGTTTTGATGATCATGATTGATGAGATAAGTCTTTAATAAATAAAGGAGTTTCAGTTCCACCAGATGATATATAACAAAATATAATCTTCTGTCACATTTACATCCAATTATTGTAAAAGGTTAAAATGCTCTGGTTCATCTTGGATCTGATAATGGTCAAGATTGGTCAATGTGTTGGCATAGTAAAGTTGAGAAGAGTTGTGGGAGAATCCAAATCCAGAAGGACATGTGGATAAGTGTGGTGGTGGGTCTACTCTTTTAGGGTTGTGCCTTGGTGGGGCTACAACGCGTGCCTTTCCGGATCCTATTTGAAGGAAGCTACTGCAAGTTGAAATATACGACACACTACTGTTCTTTAATCGTGCGTTGCATATAATATACCCTTTGTGTTTCCATTATTTTGTTATGTATGAGTTTATCTTCTACAGTAACACCAAAATCGGGGTTTACTTGGAAGTTTATAAAATAGACTCCAAAAGGTGCTTTGGGTTATTTATGGTAGGTCAGATGTTACTCAACCAAAACAGCCATCAGAAAAGGAATAATGTTCAGTAATAAAGTTTGGTGATTCACACAAACGTCTTTCATTGTTCACTTCCACACACACAAAAGAAGAAGAAACACATAGACCTACCCAAACTACCAATTGCTAGGAATTCAAGGAAACTCGGTTTAGAGACGAATCCTGATTCACGATTGTAATAGAAAAACGAACGGGGATCTTGAAATAATAAGGTACTTTGACATAATATATGTAAGAAACTTTTACATTAGGAGTATATTTTTTTATATATTTAAAAAGTTGAGTTTAAAGGTAGAGGGAAATAACTTTTTTTGTTGTGATGTGTTGACATTGACAAAATTTGTTTGGAGAACAAATTTCTTGAAGTCAAGCTGGATATAAAACTCATCCTTGATTCTGACAACTTTCGATGTCCACCACCAGTTTGTGTCTGTTACGCAGATCTTTGTGGTGGTGTAAAGAGAATAATAATAACAGGTAATTTTAATAGAGAACAGACAATATAATCACATAGGTAATAATGTAACATCACTCTCCAACAAAATACAAAGCAATCTCTCATATTTTAGTTTGGGCGTTTTTGTAGAATTCACAAGATATTTTGATGTTATATATTGTAGTGTATATATATATATATATATATATATATATATATATATATATATATATATATATATATATATATATATATATATATATATATTCTGCAGTTATTTATTTTCATGCTAATATTTAATCAGGAAATTTTGGTATTTCCCACGAATCCTTGAATTTTAGTTATTTAAAAAAAGAAAAGATTTTTAATTTGCTTGTTATTACAACGCGAATTGATCACAATATTAACACAACAAAACTGCGATGGCGACCAATTTCTAAAACTCTGATTAATGCTTCCCATCTAACCTCATCCCAGACATGATATGAGATTATGGGTCGTATATTATTAATGGTCACGCGTGTTCTCAATCTAATTGCCAAACCTATTTTTGCATTTATGGCTTCACTATTTGAAACTACAGAGGCAATCAGACAGAAACTTAACATGTAAGAACAGACATGCCCACGTATACGATGAAAGGAGATTTTAAGTACTAAAATCTGTGCATTGCTTAATAATCAGACTCATGATTTGGACAAATATACAAGTGTGTGGTTCTGATTTTTCAGGATCAGAATTTTGAAGGATAGGAAGCTTGTAAAGTTTAGGTGTATGGTATTTCTTGCCCTTCAGCTTTTAAGGGGAAAGTGATAGATCAGAGGTCTCTTATCCGAGTCTTAAGTCTTAACTGCAATGTTTTGTTTTAATTGTTATTGACAACTTATTAACAAATTTTCTTCTGTTAACTTTGACGATCAGATCAGATTAGATTAAATCATTCATTCTTGGTTTTTTAATAACAAGAACACTAAAAGAATTAGAAAGTAGTAATAAATGCATAGAATCATTAGATATTGTTACATTTGACATTTTAAAACTATATGATTCTTGATATAATGAGTATACAGGGTTGTCTGATATGATAATACTATTACAGTATAGTTCTTTTTTGACAAAAGATCCACGTGTTTTAACAAGAAAATAATAACTAATCTTTAAATCGTAGGACAACTACAGAAGAGGGGACATCCATTGAATGCATTATTAGACCACTTTCTGTATGCATCTTTTTCCAAGTTACAGAATACAATATCGTCATGACCAGACACATAAAAGATATCAATGACTTTATAATTTTCAGTCAAGGTATTATTTCTTGCTTTGTTCTTCCAGAGGCAATATAACAAAATGAGTGGAATTTACTTTAGTTTTTGATAATGAAAATCAAAACCACTTTTTGATAGTGAGTTTATTAAGGAAATGAAACTTTCCTACTTTTGCCACCCAGGACCATGTTGAAGATTAACACCTTATCAGTTGAATCGAGATATCAAATTTAGAGAGTAAGTCCAAAATTTTTTGCCAGGCAGAGAAGAAAAAGATGCATAATGCTAGATTCTCAACAGAATTGAAGATTAACATTTGTATCACCCTCCAATGTATGCGGAGGGAAATAGGCATATAATTTCAAATCCTTGCTGCCAAGAGAAATTCATCAGAAGGAACCCAACAACTGAAACTGATTTCTGATGAAATCCCAAAAACAACAGATGATTGTTCAGCATGTACGGAAAGAATAATCAAATCCCAATATAATTGAATTTCAAAAATGAAGAATGTTTAAAGAGAGAGAACTTCTGGTGGTATAGTAAAGAAGCACTAACTTTCATTGCTTATGCATATCTTGATTAAGTCCTGCTAGACCTTGTCTGGAATATCTTGTTCACTGGCCTACATTGGTTCATGTTGAGTGTCATTTGTTTTTATTATTATACATCTTTGTGGTCCCCCTCTCTTTTATATATCCTTTCCCACATTACAGTAAAGCAACAATATGTACAAAGTACAATCAACTACAGTAAATGTTAGTATTATACAAATACAAAAAATGTGTTTATATTATAATATGAACATACATCTCTCTCTCTCTCTCTCTCTCTCTCTCTCTCTCTCTCTCTTTCTAAATATCACATAGTCACTCATACACAAACAGACACATTGCTACTCCAGCTTTTCTCTTGCCTCCTTGCCTCACAGCCTGTCAAGCCTGAATTATTAAACTCATGATTACAGTTTTAAATTTGAGCTGGTTATTGCTTTGTTGTTTCTTAGTAAAGGGTTGAATGGTTCTCATATGCCAAGAGATTTGCTGCTGTCAATGAGCTTTCTCCTGATTCCCCAGGTGCTGCACTCTTTGGATTGATCCGTCCTTTGCCTTGGGAATGATTCAAGGAGACTCGTGACACAATTGGCCCTTTGTAATGTTAGAATTGGTCTTATTTCTAAGGCTCATTTATGGGTATAAATGCTGGCATGAGGGAAGAACAAGTTCAATGATCTTCATCACAGAAAGCTTCTATTTTGGTACTTCTTATTACAGGTTCAGGTACTAGACAACAGCTCACAAATATGTTTCCACTAACTTGAATTAGGTACCAAATCCTAATGAGTTCAGTTATACATATTTCTTGATGTGTGGTCTTCAAACATATAGTGTGAGAAGGTGCTGTGTTGCAGTTCTGACTTCTGAAATTCAATGAGTATTTATTTCATCACGTCGAAGGCCTTTTTCTTTTGTTAGTTTAAAATTTGTAATTGCCATGGAAGTGATATCAATTGTACATCCTTGGAGGGGCATCAAAAGTTTCCAGAATAACATAAAAAGGAAAATAATTTGACTACTTGACTTGCACATGTCCGAGGCATGTAAACTCTGAGTTGTGTGGTGATGCGTGTGATCTTTGAATTTTAGTGAATTCTTTCTAGTCTCTGATTACTTTAGCTTCACTGTATATAAAGTTTGGTTGTTGTCTTTGGAATAGCTCAGAAGAGGCTAGCTTTATTAGAAACAAGGATAAGTGGACACTTTTCTGTGGCTAGTATCTAGGAGTAGGGGATGAAGACCACTGTTATAGACCTTATGGCCAGTGATGCTTTCATCATACAATCACAGACCCACATATTAGTTGGTTTCACTGTTTCCTTGTTCATGTTACACTCTGCATCAGTGTCCCAGCAATGTTTGATTGCACGTTTGAACATTTCAATGCATAATTCTCTTGGTCCCCTCCCTCTCTCTCTCTCTCTCTCTCTCTCTCTCTCTCTCTTTCTATCTCTCTCTCTCTCCACTTTTGGTTGCTAAAGTGAGAGTCCCTATTTTGACAAATTATCTCACAACATAAACTAGAATCTTTCCTATATATTGCCTGCATTTGTGCACCAAAAAGGGCAGTGACAGAATCTTGCAGGATAATGTCAGCTTATCATGACTGACTGATCCTGTTGAATTTTCATTTCAATTTATTGCCATGTGTCAGGTATGGTTACCTACAAATTTGGGTTTCAACAAGTCCAAAATTCTGAGTTTACAGTTTCGTCCAATCTTTGTTGTTTAGATATCAAGTTAAATGCTCCAACCTTGGCATAAATGAATTTTGTCCCCACTTTAAAATTTTAGCCTAGAGAGATCACAACCGCATTGCTTAGCCTAAAAAGCAGAGAAAGGAACAAGACATGTTTTATTCATTATTACTTCTCTCAAGGGTTTTCTCATTGAAAATGAATTTTCTATTTGTTGACTTGAGGCATTACCTTATACCATCAAGATGTGATAGAAAGAAATTGAAAAGTTCAACATTTTTTTCCTTTTTTCAGGCATGGGAACCAAAATTGATTATTCCATAAATCTTCTAGCAACCCTTGTGGACAGCAGCAACTTAGCTGTGGGTGGAGTGGATGTCTGGGAGCATTATCAGAACAAGCATCAAAGGACTGGAATAAAAAAATTGCAAGGTCCCATGGATAGGATGCTTGACAGAAACAACGTAGAGTCCATCAAAAAGACAATGCAGATGCATGAGGACATCTTCAAACACCAGGTATTCTGATTATGTCGTACGATTGAACTTTTCATCTTAACAAATACAAAATTCATGTTGCCACAAATGTTTCATTCCTTGAAAACTGTGGTAAATCAACTGTATTAGGCTTGAATTCATGAGCGTTAGAGATTGAAGAAGAGATCCTTTCCATTTCAGTTGCCTTTTCTTTTCTATATCTTTGAAGGCTGCAGCACTGCATTTTGTGTGTAAAGTGAAAATACAATCATAATGCTTTGAAACTGAACATACTGATGTCAAAATCAGAGTATGATGAAGTCCTTCTTCCGTGAAATCTTATCTATGGTTAATTTTTCATTACTCTGAACTTCATTTATTATTTATTACCAAGAAGAATTTAGTGAAAGTTAAACTTAGTGTCAACCCTGTTGAAAGGACATGATGATCAACAAGAATTGAGTCTCTTACAAGCTGGCAATTATGAGAATTTTGAATTTGCAGGTTAGAGAGCTACACCGGGTATACAATGTGCAAAAGATGCTGATGGATGAGCTCAAAAATGAAACTAGACAACAGAAATTTTGGAACCACCGGAATGAGATAGATTTAAGCCATCCACATATCATTAAACAGCAACATCAAATAACACATATTTCACACAAGCCTGATTTCCATGTACAAAATTTGAGAGAGGATATATGGTCAAGAGAAAAGGGTAGAATCTTGTCAGACACCATACAGATGCAAAGAGGTTTTGATCTTGAAAGGCCTGCTGAGGAGGACATTTTTTCTCAAGCGCGTGGCTTTGATGAAGGTGAGCCAGGGCCTAGCTCCCACGCTGCATTTCAGAGTTGTAAGATAAGTACTGGTGGCTATGATGAAGAAATGGAAGTGGATTTGACACTAAGTATAGGAGGTAGTCAAGTTAATAAAAGTTCTCAATTACCTCAGTTAGCATGCTCAAACTCAAACAATGGGAAAACTAGGAAGCTGAATTCATCTGCTTCCTTCAAATCAGATAGAACAGGAGAATGCAGTGACCCTACCACCCCAATGAGTAGCTCCACTGTGACATTTACTCGGGAAGGAAAGGGGCCACATTGGCTTTCTCAAGGTCTAAAGCTTAAATAGCACTATAACTTGTTTGTATCCTTTCAACTCTACATGGACCACCGAATTTATATGGTTCATGGATTCAGATTCCTAGATTACTTTCTACTTTATTCCAATAATAAACAAATAGCTTATACACCCACTTCTGAGTGCTCTTTCTGATAAAGATAGTAGCTAATTTGCAGTGCTTCTAAAACTATTTTCGTTTCCAACATGTTCTTTTCTAACCTTATAATGCTATTGCAAATGTTGAACTTCATACCACTGGATGCATTGAGTATTAGTATACAAGAATGCATTCTCGATAGAATATACTAATAAACTCAAAAAAGTAAAGAATAATTAAGATCATCACATGGCAGAGTCTCATGATAAATGGCTATGATTCTGTCTCTTTCAAACAGAACAGTCACCATATGCAGGTGGATTCATGATTTTGTCTGCTCAGACGTTGTATCTTACGAATGATAGCGTGATTCTTATGTCTGTATCAGTTAGAAACTCTCTTACATGTGTATATTTTTCTTTTAGTGAAGAAATTATATGTGTTTAAACATGCAACCTATTGTAAATTAAGGGGTATTGCAAAACAGAGAACGTGTTCTCACATGTTGCAGAACGTGCTTTTACACGTTGTAGAAGACCGTTTCAGAGAACGTGTTCTCACACACGTTGGAGAAGACTGTTTCAGAGAACGTTGCAGAAGACCGTTTCAGAGAATGTGTGCACACACGTTGCAGAAGACTGTTTCAGAGAATGTTGCAGAAGACTGTTTCACAGATCTTTACAGATAACGTTACAGAGAACGTTACAGACCCACTACCAAGTCTTCCATAACTGTTACATACTTTCTCTTATAAATAGAGACCACTTCACACTTTTCAAGACACCTCTCTCATCTTCTCTTCTCTGATTTTCTTTCTGTTATCCTGGTTAATTTACTCTTTTGAGAGTTTCTTGTTAGTTTCTGAGATCCTCGTATATTCCGAGAAGTTCCTGTTGTATCCTGGGGGACTTGCACAATACACCGCGGATAAGTCCTTAAGGGCAGTGATTATACACGCCTCAGGAATAAAGTTTGTTCGTGTCTCTGTCAGCTTTTACAACAATCTTAAGGACTTATGGCTCACACTACGAACATCAACAACTTCCTTCAACAGTTCTAGAATATTGGATAGTGAAAGAAAGGGAATTATGAAGTGCTCATGGATCAAGGTTAGTCTTCTGATTATGATTCATGTGTGTTATTATGTGAGAATCAATTCATGTATGTTATTATATGATTATGATTCATGTATGTTATTACGTGAGAATAAAGAATCTAAACGTGAAGAGTAGTTTTATAGAATCAATAACTTATAAAAACTACAAATTAACATACATGTGGTATCAGAGCCATACTTATTAGATTTATAATTTTTCTCTTATGATAATTTTTAAATTATGTTTTTCCCAAAATTGAATAAAGGAATAAATCCTAATCTGTGTTTTAAGCTACAATCAATTTCTAATTGAAATTAATATCATAGCCCCTGTGTGAATGACACTGTAATTCTTATTGAAATGTGAATGACCCTGTAATTGATTTTAATTGAAAAAGCAAATTACGTGATTGGGTTAAAGGTGAATCATATGTGTATGTTATAATTATGATGAAAGAAAGGTAAACTTTTAGATCAAAAGCTATCAACATACATCATGCAGCTTGTCCATAGAACACACGTGTCAAACACAGGTTCCTTTTTCGGATTTATTACACCAATGAACACAGGTAAAATGAATTATATTTTATGAGTATATGAATTATGCATGAGTATTATATGTTGTGAGAGATTTGTTTTGGTAGTGAACAATTAATAGTTACGTGTGCATGACTTAGATCTACATATTATTTTATTTTATACATACGTATGAGTAAAATGTTATTTTGTCCACATATTATTTTGTACATACGTATAAGTAGAATATTAGTTTGTCCCCATATTATTTTGTACATACGTATAAGTAGAATATTAGTTTGTCCCCATTTTATTTTGTACATACGTATAAGAAAGTGTTGAGACTGTATGAAACCAGTGGATCTAACCCCACCTTACGTTCACGAAAGAAAATTATTTTTTGTGAAAAGTAAGGTCATCATGCACCTCAGTGTAGACGTGAAATGAGAAATGACAATCCTCTTAAGGCAAATTTAGCCAAAGGAAAATATACAATTATTGTGGTCGTTTCCCAAATAAACCTTGTCACAAATGTGAGCAAATGAGTGGTAGACTCTGGTGCTACTAGGCACATATGTGCAAACAGAAGTGCTTTTACCTCCTACACTAGTGTGGGAATTGAGAAGAACATATTTATCTCGGTGATTCCAAGACAATTCTTGTCTTATGAAAATGAAAAGTTATTCTAAAACTCACATCTGGAAAGACTCTGACCATGTGATACATGTGCCATTAATCAGAGCCAATCTAATCTCTGTAGCACTGTTAGGAAAAGTTGGGGTTAAGGTGTCATTTGAATCTGATAAGATTGTTATGACAAAAAATAATGTCCTTATAGGGAAGGGATATTGTTAATAAATTTTGTTCTTCTGCTTATAATATTGATTCATATGATTTGTGACATTTATAGATGACTACTCTATATATACCAAAGTATACCTAATCAAACAACTCTAGTGCACCAAATAACCTCTGAGAGAATATATACTTACAGTGTGTTTTTTAAGAAAATTGGTAAAACTCCCTATTAGTTATGGAGAGGTTATGAACCTAATATTAAATATCTAAGAGTGTGAGGGTGCTTAGCTAAGGTAATGTTACCTAATCATAAGAAAAGAAAAATAGGTTTTTCAACTTCTGATTGTATGTTCTTAGGCTATGCAGAACATAATGCTGCCTATAGGTTTTTTGTCCTTAAAAATGATATAATTGAACATAATACTATAGTGGAGACAAAAAATGTTGAGTTCTTTGAACATATTTTTCCTCTAAAGGTTAGTGAGTCACCTAAACAATCTATAGAGATTAATAGTGATAAAATATATGAGGATTTGAGGAGAAGTAAAAGATAGAGCAAGGAAACCTCCTTTGGAGATGATTTTTACATTTATCTAGTTGAAAATGATCCAATGAGTTTTTTAGAGGCTACTAGGGCTCCTGATGCAATACATTGGGATAAAGCCATTAAGATTGAAATTGATTCAATTAAGAAAAATAATACTTGGACTTTGGTAGATTTGCCTAAAGGAACAAAACCTATTAGTTGTAAGTGGATCTTTAAGAAAAAGTATCATTTTGATGGATCCATAGATAAATATAAGGCAAGATTAGTAGCAAAGGGTTTTACTAAAAAATCCAACATTGATTATTTTGACACCTTTGCCCCTGTGACTAGGATTTCCTCTATTCGAGTTTTGTTAGCTCTAGCAACTATCCATAAGCTAGTTATACACCAAATGGATATTAAGATAGCCTTTTTGAATGGTGAATTAGAGGAGGAAATTTATATGACTCAACCAGAAGGGTGTGTTATTCCAGGTCAAGAGAACAAAGTGTGCAAACTTTTAAAATCCTTATATGGATTAAAATAAGCACCAAAACAATGGCATGAAAAACTTGATAGTGTTCTACTTTGTAATGGATGTTCAACTAATGATGCTGATAAATGTGTATACTCAAAATTTGAGAGTAGTGAATGTGTCATTATATGTTTATATGTATATGATATGCTAATATTTGGTACATGCATTGACATTGTCTACAGAACTAAGTTGTTTCTGGGATCTAAATTTGAAATGAAAGATATGGGTGAAACCAATGTGATTTTGGGTGTTAAAATCATAAGCAAGGGCGATAGTATTTTTCTATCCCAAGAACAATATATTGAGAAACTTCTTAGGAAGTTTGGGTGTTATAACACCAAACCAGTGAATACCCCTTATGATGCTAACTCTAAATTAAAGAAAAATAGAGGAGACTTAATCTCTCAACCTCAGTATGCCCAGGTAATTGGGAGCTTACTGCATTTAATGAACTTTTCTAGACCTGACATTGCTTATGCAGTAGGTACTGAGTAGGTACACTCAATGTCCTAATCAAGAACATTGGAATACACTTACAAGACTTATGAGATACTTAAGAAGTTCAATGGATTATGCCATTGAATATAGTGGATTTCCTACTGTACTAGAAGGATACAATGATGCTAACTGGATTTCTGATTCAGATGAGACAAAATCCACTAGTGGCTATGTATTCACACTCGGGGGTGGTGCGATTACATGGAAATCAGCCAAACAAACAATTATTGCAAGATCAACAATGGAATATGAATTTGTTGCTCTCGAAATGGCTGGTAGTGAAGCTGAGTGATTGAAAAACTTCTTAGTAAACATTCCATTAGGAATGAAACCAATCCCGTCTGTATCAATACACTGTGATTGTCAATCGACAATAACTATAGCAAAAAATAAGAACTTCAATGGAAAAAACAGACATATACAGTTGAGACATAATTTAGCGAAGCAGCTGCTAAAGAATGGAACAATTTCCATTAACTATGTGAAGTCAGAACGGAATCTAGCAGATCCTCTAACAAAATCCTTAACGAGAAATATGATTTTAGAAATATCGAGGGGAATGAGACTTAAGCAACTTGCAAACAAACAAGTGATGGTAACCCAACCTTTGTGATTGGAGATCCCATGAATAAGGTTCATATGGGTAAAAACAAGTCACTTGTTAGTTCTGCTAGCACTAAAATTGATTAAAATCAATTATGTCAATTCCTATGGTGTATATGTGAAAGTGCTAGATACTGCATTATTGAGAGGTTAAACTTTGTAATTAAAATTTTATGTGCTGTACGAATTTTAGTCTAAACAAAGTTTTTAACGATTTCATATCCCTTAAGGGTGGTGTATGATTTGCAGCATACGCTTGATGAAGTCACCTATATGAGTGTCGAGTGGGGCCGCTTGTATGAGATCTTTGCAAGATTTCTAGAGCACTCATGAATAC